GTTCTCGACGTTTGGCGGCGCTGGCCCGAAGAAGGGGAAAGGGAAAGTAAGGCGTACAAATGCCAGGAGATGTTTATCAAGCAAGAAAAACACAACAAATAAAGGGCTCGATGGTATCCCTAATAGAAAGGGATATAGTTGAAGATTAACCTAAAAAATTGTGACCGCCTGACCCCCAGATTCGGCAGGCAGGGCGTCTTCGCGTTGGCTTTTGGGAAATGTAGTTGTAATGCTACCGACGCCGTGTGTTTGCGACAGAAACTACAACCCCCACATGCCACCGCAACTCTTGTCGCAGCCGGCGAACCAACGGCTCTGGAGGCCAGGCTTAACTGGGAACGTCCATCTGGTAAGCGTGGTAGGCTTGGCTGTGAACTGTTGGTTTAAATTGTTTTTCCTTCCTCCATTTCCTCCGAAGCCATCTGGGATCGCTGCCTTTCAGGCCAGGGCCTTTCCCCAGTGGCTCGCGGGGAGAGAAGTGCAGGTGCCCAGCAACTTTTGGTGGGTGACCCGAGGCCAGCATTTGGCGATCACTGTCTGAAAGGTCGAGGAGCATCTTAAGCCCGACAAACCGGGAGAGGCTCCATGCTGCTGCTGCTGCTGCTGCTGCTGCCGCAGTCCTCTCGCCTGTGAATCCATGCTGGATGGACTGGGGGTCCTTGCGCACGGCCATTGCACTTTTGCTCTCGCACGGATCTGTTTTGTGCTGTATTTCCTCAGTCAAATAGAATCCGAAGGAGCGTTCTGAAAGCAAGGCCGTTTTGTGTGAGACTGAAAAGAACTCCCGGTGTTCTTAAGCTTTGAAGTCTAACAGGTTTTGAAAGGTTCTGTGTGGAAAGAAACCTATTTAAAAAAACCAAAATCCTCCCAAATTTATTATCTTTGAATGATCTAATTATTTCTTCTCTAAAGGTGTTTTGAAGCCATTATACTTGGGAAAACTCAAATTTGGAAGGCTTTTAATAGACTGGTGATCAGATTTTAAAAATACTAACCAGGGCCTAGAGAGATGACTCAGCAGTTAAAAACACTTGCCCTTACAGAGGACCTGGGTTCGATTCTCAGCATCCACGTCGCAGCTCACAGCCATCCATAATTACAGTTCCAGAGGACATGCCCTCTTCTGACTAAGGCAGACATCAGTCATCCATGAGGTGCACAGGCATACATGCAAACTGTACAGTCGTAGATAAAATAAATCAACAAGCATAAACTAATTGGGCCTTGAATATGTACAATAGTGAAAAAGATACACCCTCATCTTATTAGGAAACTAATGTGTAAATCCACAATTGCCATATTGTTTAATATTGTTGGGGTGGCTAGAGGAACATTTAGCCCAGCCTTGGAAGTCTTCATCCCAAGGGAGACAAAGACCAAAAGAACGGCATTGAGGCTTCTGCCAACTAGTATCTGCCGAGTGCCTTCGGTGCAATAGGAATCGTTGAGCAGTATACCACTATGGTCAGAGCTTGTATTCTAAGAAGAGACAGTATGTACGTGATGGAGAATGCATAGCATGTGAAATGATGACAGCCAATTGGGAAGGAATGAAGAGTGCTTGGTTGTGGGGCGAGGGAAGGTTTCGTTTTCTGTCTGTGGCGGGTTGTTGCTGGATCATACAAACTGGTTACCTGCCACCTCCGGACAGTTGTTAGATGAGCTTTCGGGGTGGGATCACCCATATTCAAAGGCCTGCAGTACTGAGAGGGTAAAAGGACCTTCTAGTCTCAAAGCTTGAGGGGATCCTAAAGGTACAAAGGACTTTGCTATGGGGTTGGCAGGATGGCACAGACAGTGGGCAGGAAGAGTCTGCATGTGTGGGGGTGAGTTTTCTACACCTTTTTCTGGATGGACTTAATTTTCCAAACCACCTTCATATTAGCTCATCTAAGAACCTTTGTTCTTCTCCAGAACGTCACAACTGGCCTCCTAGGGCCATGTTTTTCTTTTTCAGGGTGGTGGTTTTTGTTTATTTGTTTTGTTTTCTTTCTTGTTTTGTTTGCTGGCTTTTCCAGTTATGTATCTGCAAGTTAATTTATATGCTTTGCAGTAGTTGAGGAAACAGCAGACACTATTTGTAGTAGAAATAAAGAAAGGAGAGAATTGCTGAAGTCACTAGCTGTTGTGGGTTCTAAAGATCATCCTATAGTTGACGTCGTGATCATCTAGGTGGGACTTACTTCAGTCTAAGCATTAAGGAAAGATGTAAGGAATGGGCAGAGACATTTTGGAAGGACTGGTACAGAGGAACCTGTGTTACAGAACTAATTGGAAATAAGCCCCTTGAGACTGAACTAAGTGGTGTGTATATGTATCATCCTTTACTGGGGAAGTGTAGCAGGAGTTTGAAGACAGGCTGAGACCTTATTTCACAGGAAGAAAAACAGTAAAACAAAAGGTGGAAATTGCCACTTGCTATCATGGAAATGTGCACATTTGTATATGGGAGAGGGTAGAGGGCAGTGTTTTGGCCACTTGCCTTGGAATATAGAAGACAAATGAGGAAGACTTAGCTGTGGATAGTTTGAGGTTTCTTTGTAATGTTTGATAATGGTTGTTGATTTCGACAAAGGAGGCACGCTCCTTGAAGTTCAATGTATTTGGGAGTTATCGGCAGGTGTGATGCTGAAGGAGCAGCCAGCTTAGAGGGGAAAACCCCCAATGTGTTGTCCTAGAAGCAAAATGAAGAAAGAGTTTGGAATGATTATGTTAAATGTTCTATGTCCAATGAAATGAGAACTAATTCACCACTACAATAAGTGTGGAGATTATTAAATAAAGGTTATAGGAAGTCATTGCTTTGGACTTGAGCTCTTGTGCTGCCCCACCCCCAACCCCCAGATCAGATAAAAAGAAAAAAAGGGGGGGGGAAGGCCATCCCTGGGACTGGAGAGATGGCTCAGCGGTTAAGAGCACTGACTGTTCTTCCAGAGGTCCTGAGTTCAATTCCCAGCAACCACATGGTGGCTAACAACCAATCACCTTGAATGAGATCTGGTGCCTCCTGCTGGCATGTAGTCAGAAGACTATATACATAATAAATAAATAAAATCTTAAAAAAAAAAAAAGGCCATCCCTGCTAATGTTCCACATATCCAAACTGCAGTTAAGTTGTTACCTTGCCTGAGACGTCAGGAGAATGAGAGGGAATGAAATTTCCCAAATTAGCCATTTGGCATGACAGCCATGTTCCCACTGCGTTGATCCCTACATTCTTTAGTCCTTCCAAATAATAACATGAAGTAATCTGATGTTAACTAGTTACTTCCTTGTGTACTGTCTCTCTGACCTGACCTTTGACAGAAAGTAACTTTGAAATGACCAGTCTGCTCTGGCTGCTTCTGCTGTGTTGTAGCTTCTCTAGCTATAAAGCTACATTCTCTGCCAAAAATAAAGATAATTTAAGACTTTTAAGTTGCAACTTTGTTGTTTGAGAACGCAAGTGCCTGTGTTGATAAGAGATACAGAATCTCTGTCCTTGTTGCCTTTGTTTAGACCGCCTCATCATGTCTTTGACTTGTCTTCCATTAGGTCAGCTATTCCTTGCTCACAAAGACATGTCCCTAATTAGAGAAAGAAACACATTTACTCTTACTGTGGCATGTATCTTTATTGACGGATATGTTGCAAATACATTCAATTACATTTTCCACAATTTGATTGGCGCCTGACCCTGTAAAGTACCTGAGAGTAGCTACAGTGTCTGGTTCACTCAGCCTGACTAAAGCTCAGTAGGTTGCCTGATTCCCAACAGACTCAACAAATGCTTGATATTTGTTGTGTGCGCCCACCCCTGTTTGTTATCCCAGCACTCTTGGAAGCAGATACAGGAGATCAGGAGATCAGGAGTTCAAGACCAGCTTGAGCTTCTTAACAATACCTTGTTTGGGGAGAGGGGAAGGTGAATTAGCAGTGTACCATTGGATGAAAACACTCATAGTACTTTCAAAAGTACTACATATTGTTCATAAAAAAGCTAGGTGACTGATGGGTGGAAGAAAGTATAATGAGAAAGCATTTTAGAAAAATGTGTATTTTTATGAGATATTTATTAAAATATCTGCAGAGCAATTAATTCTTAAACTGTGTTTCAGTGGAACCAACTTCATAAAAATACTAAGACCAAGTGCATCCACAGATCTCAACTACAAGATCACCTCTTCATCTGTTCTTCTCTTTCCTAGCAAACTCTTTCAGATGTAGTTCATAGTAGAATTTATCTCCCTGAAGTCTTTCGTTCACTTATAGCTTCTTGCGCATTTTCATCCTTGTCTACTGGGTGAGTCCTGCAGTGTTGTAATATCGTTTTTAAATCCTATCCAGCCATTGGCCTGACGCTGCAACAGCTGGCCTACCCAACATTTTAACCCCAGGAAACAGTTCTTTTTTTTTTTTTTTTTCCTTTTTAGGATGATTTTAATTAAAATAACAAGCTCTAAGGTCTCTGGGCAATGCTCTAAAATAGAGTAAAAACTAGCACGAGTGTTAGTTGCCTATCTTACCAGTGTGCAGTGAGTCCTTTAATGAGAGCAAAGGCTCTGTGATGGCCATTCTTGTTGTCAACTTCACTACATCTGGAGTTAACTGAAAGCCCAGTGGCTGGGCACCCCTTTGGAGGATTTTTAGTTAATTGTATTATTTGAGGTCGGGAGACAGCCGTAATCTGGGCCACTCCATCTCACAGCAGCCTATATAAAGGACTGGGAAGAAAGAGACTTCTCCTTTCACCTGCTTGTCCTCATTCTCACTGGAAGTTTTTCTAGCCTGCTGCCGAGGCGTTCCTTCGCTGCCATTGCAGCCTGCTTCTTTGGGATTCCAAAGATATGTACAGAACACCAGCTGAGACGTCCATCCTCATAGACTGAACAACTATTGGATTCTTGGATTTTCCATTGAGAGACAGCCATTGTTGGACTAACTGGACCACAGCCTGTAAGCCATTCTAATAAATCATATATGTATGTATGTGTGTACATATATATATATTGTATGTCATACACATACACACACACACAAACACACACACACACACACACACACACACACACACGGCTCTCTAGAAGTTTCCATGTGATTATACACCCACCTCTACCCCCTTTAAAAAAAATAGGTCCTTACTGAAAGGAGGACACTGAGGCACAGAGGTAAAGGGACTGACATGAGGTTAGACTAGGGGAGACACATGGGAACTGGGTTCAGAAATCCATCATTTCTCTGGAAAAGGCGAAGGTAGCCTGGTGAGGTCCACATCTATAATCTCAGCACTTGGGAACTGGAATAGGAGTTTCAGGGCCTTGTGCACTCCATGCAAAACTTGATAAGTTAATAACATACTTTGAAATACCT